ATTCAGCCGCTGTTGAAACTGATCAGTTTCAGCAGCGGCTGAATCTGGATGCCAGTTCCGACTTACATACAGATTCAACTTAAGAACAAACCTACAGTCCCTATCTTGTACGTAACCCGGGGACTGCCTGTATGTTCCCTATTTAGGGTGATGCTTCAAGCAGTATTCCTTGAAGAGGAGGGTGAGAGGACCTTGGCTTTACCACCAATTAGAGGATTGCTCTATCAAACGAATGGTCAGCTGTAGAAGTTTAAAGTAAGGTGCAATGCCTCCTAAAAAGAGTGCAGCGTCCTGCGGTGCCATCCTGCAGATTTCCTCAAAGCAAGGTCACTGACGCAGCCTGGATCAGACAAATCATCCCCCACACAATGCCGGGGAGAGGTCATAGTTAATTCGTGACAAAGCAGAATGAAGAGTAGTCTTTGGGACGAGACTGCTTGACCTCTCATACATACGGCAAGAGAAAATAATTTAGGTGATTTTCCTAATAGGTTTAATACTCTAGAACCGTGGTGTTCAACACACTAGCCCAGCTGGTTGAGTATGGCTAGTTCACTATAGCCATAGTATAATTCACTGTAGTGGCTATTGCTTCAGAATTAGTTGGATACCACTGCTCTAGAAGAATATAGGGAAGTTTCCTATCCAACTAGTGGCATATACGTTTGGCATGAAGACAGGTAAGTGAATAGCCTGATTTAAATGGATTTCTGTGATCACTTGGTGTGAATCTGAAGCTTAGTCGTTGGGAGTACAGTGGATGTGCCATAGGGTCCCAAGCGTTCCTTGCCTCCAGGCTGATGTGAAGGCCACCAAAAAAGCAACCTTCATTAATAGATGGGCTAAGGAACATGTAGTTAATATTCAAATGCTGACAGGACTACATTGTAGGGATGTTAAAATGCATTTATTTGTATAAATGTGTACCCACTGAAATGTTCAGTGGATACCCCTTAACACAGGGGAGTGGAGCAGGGGGGCATGTGGGAGCTGGTGCACATCTGGTGCGCAACTGGGAACTCCCACAGAGGCAGCAGCACAGGGGAGGTGGAGTGGCTTGAAAGCCGGGTCCTGCCTGTCCCCACCCCACTGCTCCCTCTGAATCAGAGGCAGCAGTGTGCGGCCGGGGGGAGGGGTGGGAGAGAACAGTCCATTTGGCAGGAGCCAGATCCCTGAGTGTACCAGTTCCTGCATGCCTCCCCCTGGAAAGGTGGCAGCAACACGGGGGGCGGGGAGGCAGCTTCATGCCCTCCCCTGCCTCTGAGATAGAAGTGGCGGGGGGGGACGGGGACGAGACACAACTGCATTCACATCCCTACTATGTTGTGGTGCCAAGCACTGGTAAATTTTTAGTATCAGGGAAAGGTTCTAAAGATGCCCTTTAGGAAACTGGTAAATCACTTGATCCTGTGACAACTGGAGGGTGACAGGCACTGACCATTAAGTGCATCCACAGGGTTTTAATAAGTAGACATGAAGTGTAGAAAAGTGATTCCAAGAGAGCTGGGATATTGGAAGCCACTGGATCTATCTGATGTTGACACCAGACTAAAAAAGTCTTTTCCCTTTGTTGTATAGCATTGTTTTGTGGTTTCCTATTTTACTGTTAAGGTGCTAATCAACTGCTTGCAACTGCTTTATTAGAATGTCATCCAGCCAAATGTCAGGCTGTTAGGTGGAAGGATGGTGGATTGGGATGACTGATTTTGCCTCTGTCCCAATCGTATTTCCTTTTTCAGGTGAGTATCAAGAGGTAGATTTCTCTTGTTTCTTATCTGCGTGGCACCACAACATAGTAGGGATGCGAATGCAGTCACCCCTGCTGCTTCTATCTCAGAGGCAACGGAGTGGGAGGGGATGAGCATTGGCTTCCATGAAGCTGGAAAGAGCCGGCTATAGCTGTATGGACACTCATCTGCACACTGTTGGAAAACCAGAACCAACCGGGACATGTGAAGAACCAACTAGGACACCTGCCTATCATTGCTACCAGGATGAGACACTCTAGGTTCAACAGGATGGCCAAGTCCTGTGTGGTGTTGTGTCAATCCCCAAACACATGGGTGTAGCGTGGATTCATTTCCTTTGGTGGCATCAGCAGTCTCAGTCTTGTCATGGCCTTTGGTACCAAAACCTGCCTATCACAGAACAATGGTACCTCAATATAGAAGGCATCCACTTCTGCTGCTCTCTGGCCAGTAATGAGTACAATCCTGCTCCTGTAGATCATGCCAACTTTAGGGTGCCTTACTCTTTGGAGTCATGAGACAATGCTAACACCTAACTTCTAGTATGTCAGAAAAGGTCCTTTTTTCAGGTGCGTATCAAGAGGCAGATTTCTCTTGTTTCTTACCTGAATGTTTCCTACTCTTCTCATGCCCCTTTGGAGGAGTTCACAGCTCCAGTCCTATAAACCTCACAAGTACAAAGATCACAGCGCTCTGACAGGCACTTTTTGATGCCTCTGCCCGATGTACATAAAGTTCTGACAGGCTAAGGTTGAATGGGGACCCCACAGCATGATACATTAGGAAGCTCCAGAGCCTATTCTCACATGCTTGATGGGCTCAGCTTAAAAGAGACTGGCTAAAAAGGGCACTTGGAGAGGATGTGAGCTTCTCTGAGGCAGTAGAAGCACCTGAGGTAGTTACCACCTGAGAAGGCCAGCAGCAGGAAATGCAGTTTTTAAATTCATAGTTGTTTGACATACTGATTACCCTATATGGATGGGTATCAAGGTAGGGGAAGACTTCCCAAGGCCCTGACTTTTAAAACCTATTCCTAAATCTAAAAACTGTACCTAAAATTATTTACAGATATTTACCATTTGAGGCAGAAGCAACTGCACACACACCTCAGACCACAGGCAGTAAGAAAGAACTGGAGAAATTGTCAGTCTTTGACGCTTCTTACACCCTCAGTTCAGAGCATGAGGAGAAGGGCATAGGCATAGATCAACAGCCACTGAGAGCAAGAATCCTCAGTCTCAGGAAGATAGAGCACATGCACACAGCACAATGGAATTCACAAAGGCACGTGACAGTCAAATATGACAAGTCCCAAGAAGCTACAACTCTAAAGAGAATTTCAACACATCTGATCAATAAAATAAGGGGTAAAAATATAACAAACTAGCTTGTATGTGTTTACCATACCCAATGCACCACTTTCCTGGAAAAGAAAGCCAACAAAACTTGCTTCACCCACAAGGAAAATGACTCTACTCCACTTTGTTATTGACACACCATTCTACATAGAACAAATCTGAGAGCAGCTACAAAGATGGCAAAATAAGGGACAAAAAAAGAATAACAGTTCTAATTTCTCATGCATCTCCTACTGTGTCACTGACCCCCATTTTGTAAAGAGTGTAGCACCAAGGTTTCTTTTACCATTATAATTCAGGAATTTCTCAAAATGTGTACAAACCTCTCTGCCTTCTTTAAATACTTTATTTGCTTCATGTGCTGCAGCAGCAACCTGCTGGCTTTTCATCTGGCTCAGCTTGCTATCTGGATTTCGTAACCTGGTAAGCATTCGTGTTGAGCTTGATGTGCCTTTCCCAGCGCATGGAGAATCACTTCTTTCACCATTGGATTTCTCCCCTACCACCAAAGTAATTTAAATAATAAAAAAAGAATAAATTGCAAATGTGTTAACATGGAAATGATGAAATTTAACTATTATATTTAGAAAGAATAACACTCGTAACACTTTTATTTCTACCTATTTCCTCTGATGTCTGGGATTCTCCTTCTATATTCTCAGCATCATCAGAAGTCTTACTGGAGTCATTCTGCATAGAATTCAGCTCACTGCTGTTACTGCTTTCAGCATTAGACTGGAAAGGTGCAGAGGATGCACTAGGACTGATGTTGGGGGTCATCTGACAGGTTTCTTCTACAAAAGAAGGACTTTATTTTTAGATTTTCAGTACTGAATCAATTAAGCTTTTTTTTTTTTTTTTAAGTTAAAAATCCCAAGAAAGTCAGATGAGCTACTGAAACATCAACTCATTTGTAACATGGAAGAATTGGTAGTTTTCATTATCTCAAAAGGTCTACCTAAAAATCTTTGATGTACTAAGCATATACAAGCATATGCACCTACTGAAAACAAAGATCTCCCTCTCTCCAATCAGTTTTCAAAACAATTCAAGCTATTCAAAATTTCTATGGTCAAATAAGCAAGGAAGTAAAAACAAGAAGTGACCATTTTAGCCCTATGACTTAAATTGACAAATTCTACATAAATAAATGTCTTCATAAAATATTGCCAGTGGATCATTTGTCTATTTATAGACAATTACATGCTTTTCAGTAGTTGAAATCTACAAATGAAAAAATTAATCACTATTTCTTTTGTTCTTTGCATTTAACCTCTCCCAGATTTCAAAACAAGATTTTCTGCCTAGCCTACCATTCAAGATAAATGTTCTTCATAACCTGATATTCTGAAACTGATTAACAGTACCAAAATATATGTTCAGTAAAATACCAATGAAGAGTGAATCAGCAAAGACCAAATAAATACTAAGTGTTGTACCTCCCTTAACCGGGACTCCCTGGTCTAGCAACATCTGTGGTCCGACAAGGACCATGGATGTTCCTGGACCACAGAGCCCAGGAAGAGGGAGGTTTGGTGGCGGGACAGGAGAACCAGAAGGGGCACAGGCGACTTAGCCAAAAGCCCAGAGTGGGGGGCTGAGGGGGAGGGAGAGGGAGAAGCATGGAAGTCAGGGCAGGGAGTTCTAACTCCAGCAGAACTCCCTAGCCCCAGCGGCCATGGAGCTCCAGCCCTGGCCAGGGAGTTCTGACCCCAGCAGTAGCCAGGGAGTTTCAGCCACGTTCTGCCTCCAGCAACCAAGGAACTCCAGCCCCAGTGGCAGTCAGGGAGTTCTGCAGCTCCGGCCCTGCCCTGGAGCTCTGGCTCTGAAGCCCTGGCCCTGAAGCCAGGCAGCTGTGGAGCTCTGCCTCTGCTGTGGAGCCAGGCTGCTGGGGAACTATGTCCCAGTTGTGCAGCTCTGGCCATGGTGCTCTGGCCCCTGCAGTAGCGGGGCTGGCGAGAGCCCCGGGGCTGAAGCAGCAGCCAAGGCAGGCTGGAGCCCTAGCCTGGTGGCAGCCTGGCCACAAGGGGAAGGACCTTCCCCGGTCTGGGGCCAATCCCCTCATTCGGGATCAGTCAGGTCCAGAGGGTGCTGGACCGGAGGTCCAAACTGTAATTTAGAAATTATCCATGCTGTCAAATTCCCAGGAGAAAGCCAAAATTAGTTCTTACCTGAAATTTTGGTTTCTCTTCATGGGGATACATTGCTCTGGACAGATACTCCCTACATTTGTCTAGTATTCTATACAGATTTGGTTTAGCATTATATAACTTTCTTCAAGTCAGGACAAGAAGGAACATTAAATCATGCTAAAAGATGATGTAGTGTTGACAACTTAATAGTTGGATTTCTTTGCCTTAAGTTTTTGGGGTTTGTTTAAATTTTGCTTCTTTTGGAAATGTTTACTGAAGAAAGGGGATGCTTCCAGGTCCTATTCCTCCCCCAAAAGAAATACCCAGAAGTTATTACTTCTATCCAGAGCACTGGATTCAACAAAGGAGAATACTTACATTTGAAATAGATATCTGCTATACTTATAGAACTCTACATATTTATTTTGCTCCCAAAATTATAAAACCTAAATTTTTATAACAATAAACCTTGTAAAATATACAAAATACAAGTCAATTATCTGTATTTTTATATACTATTTACTGGAGTATATTTTAATAAAACAAGTAGACTTAAGTTTTGTGCCTGCAACATAAGCATTACAGTATGGTGCTAGAGAATACAAACCAAGAATTGCTTGTGTCATCCAAATTAAGAGGAATGCAAAAACTGAACATTAATAGTGATTTTTTTTTTATAATTCTTACAGTTTATATTATTGAATGAGTTATTAAAGAATATTTTTTAATCTGCATTTTATTTGTCATCTCTGAATCAGAAGTAAATTGATCACACTTCTAAAAATGCAGTTCCTCCGTCTTCTCTTAGAGCTAAGCACCAATTTTACCAAGACAATGAATATGCATAAGAACTAGGGCTGTCAAGCAATTAAAAAGTTAATCATGATTAATTGCATGATTAATCACGCTGTCAAACACTTCATTTAAATATTTGTGGATATTTTCTACAATTTCAAATATATTCATTTCGATTACAACACAGAACATAATATGTACAGTGCTTGCTTTGTATTCATTGTGATTGCATAATAAAAAAAAAAAATATTTCAATTTCCTCATTACAAGTAAGTTAGTGCTATCTCTATCATGAAAACTGAACTCACAAATGTGGAATTATGTACAAAAAACTACATTCAAAAAGAAAATAACGTAAAAAACTTTAGAGCTTACAAGTTTGTTTACATTTACAGGATATAATGCTGACTGCTTCTTGCTTATAATCTCACTTTCAGGTGACAACAGGAGTTCACATGGCACTGTTGTAACCAGTATAACCAAGTGCGTTAAAGATTCAGATGTCCCTTCATAGGTCAACCATCATTACAGATGACATGCTGATGATGGGTTCTTTTTTATAATGATCCAAAGCAGTGCGGACTGATACACATTCAATTTGCAAAATGCAGGACAATGTAGCACTTTAAAGACTAACAAGATGGTTTATTAGATGATGAGCTTTCGTGGGCCAGACCCACTTCCTCAGATCAATTTGCGTCATCTGAATGAGATGCCACCATCAGAAGGTCAATTTTCTTTTTTGGTGGTTTGGGTTCTATAGTTTCTGTACTGTAGTGTTGTTCTTTTAAGACTTCGGAAAGCATGGTTCACTTCTTGTCTCACTCAGATTTTGGAAGGCATTTCAAATACTTAAACTTTGGGTTGAGTGCTATAGCGTGCTTTTAGAAATTGCAGCGAAAGTGTTCTTAATATGAGCCACATGCTAGAAAGAACATTAACATGAAATACATGGCAAAATGTGGGTAAAACAGAGAAGGAAGACATATAAATCTTTCACGAGGCGTTCAGTCACAAATTTAATTGCCACATTATGCTTTTAATGATCATCATCAAGATGGAAGCATGTCCTCTGGAATGGTAGCCAAAGCATGAAGTGGCATACAAATGTTTAGCATACGAGGCATGTAAGCACCTTGCAAAGCCAGTTACAAAAGTACCATGAGAACACTCTTCTCACTGTCAGGTGAATAAGATTTAAAAATGCAAATGTAAAAAAAAATGTGTTTGTCTTAGAAAGTAGCTGAACAAGAAATATGATTAAGTGGACTTTCAGGCTCAAGTTTTACATGGTTTGGGTTTTGAGGGCAGGTATGTAAAAAACAAAAAACAAAAAAACACAATCTGGAAATTACACTTTCACAATAAAGAAATTGGAGAACAGTCATCGTATGATTGTGAACTGAAAAATACAATTTTTCTCTATCCCTTTTACAGTGTAAATATTTGTAATACAAAATATCAAATGAGCATTGTACTCTTTATACTCTGTGTTGTAATTGAAACTAATATCTGAAAATGCAAAAAAAAGTCCAAAATGTTTAATAAATTTCAATTAGTATTCTATTATTTAAGTAGGATTAAACAAATAATGATTATTTTTTAAATCGTGCTTGTTTTTTCTTAACCGCCTGAATTTTCTACAACAAAATTAAATAGTCCTGACAGTTATAGAAGGGAAATTCAGAATTAATATTTATAACCTCCTTAATGCAACAGGATTTGATTATGTTTTCCTGTTACTCCACTGGCTTTCTGAATATCCTGAATGGTGTGAGTTAAATCTTTATCTGTGCCATGCTACAATTAGCAAAACCAGAGTAGATCCCTGAGGAACATGCCTAGTGGTTCTGATATTCTAAAAACAAACATTCTTGACTACTGCTTTGTCTTTTTGACTTACTAGTTACAGAAGATGGACAAAAATCTTTAGGAACTCAGAAGAGCATGGAAGTCCATGAAGTATTCTAATGAAGTAATTAGCCACCTTAGCAGATACATTGTGATGCATCCTCTCATTAATGGTAGAAAAAATGGAATACCCCTCCAAGGGATGGCCAAGAGGCTTGCTTCCCTGTCGCAAAGACATTTTAGTTGATTTGAAAGACTGCTAGCTTGGGCCCATTCCTCAAAGTTCTTGAGTGATAGGATTTCTGGAACCTCATCTGGTAGCAAGACATAAGAGGGAGGATCGGAGCAATCCTGGTGAAAGAAAAAGGATGACAGAAGACTACTTGGACTCCACTGGCTGTCCTGAACCTGGAAGCTCTGAGGAGGTTGATTCAAGTCCTCCCATCTTTAAAAGCAGCAGTAATGAGTTTCAGTGTCTTAGCTCTTGACATCTTGACCTTAACCAGTGGCTCTTCCCAGCATAAGGTTACTCATAAGTAGAAAAGAGACCAAAGTTTGTGTGTCTAGGGAGAACTCCAGCAACAAGTCTGAAACCAAGCAGGCTGGTCCAGATCTCTTTGTACTTCTGATCTGTCACAGAGTCTAGATTTAGAAGTTGGAATCACACAACTAACGTCTTAGCGCACAAGATTATGGCTGAACCCACCAAAATGGTCTGTGATCTGTTTATGCCATCTCATGAGCTCAGTCTTAAAGAAAACACACTTCCCCCATTTGGAGCGCTGATTCTCCAAGTTAGTGGCTAGGCTGCCTACATGCAGGAAAGACACCTGGATCTCATGCTGTATTTTAAGCAGACACAGAATAGAGAAGCCACAGTTGGCTTTAGTGCATGGGAAGCATCTGGCTCATTGCAGAATTCCCTATTTCTTTGAAAATCTTGTACAAAAGAAACACAAGTAGGGCTTTTTCCTGTACTTCAACAACTTCTTCCTGAGAGCTCTCTATAACTTTGGACATCACCTCCTCAAAGCTTCAAGAAGATCAGGTGCTCAGATACTGTGGTGGTGAATGTGGTAATACAACCATATATAAAACAGATCAGAATGGAGGTCCTGCTAATCCTTTTAAGACAGGTGGTGGGCCAATATTCTCTCTCTGGGAAGTACTCAAAGAAAATGAACAAATCTGTGTCTCACCCAAAATATGACCAGTGTATTTTGAGCCTGCCCTATTGCTGGTCAGGGAAGACAGAACCATCTGAGGACTGGAGTTTGGAAGAGAAGGGGAAGATATACCATCCCACCCAACCTAGATTCACATAAGAAACTGAGATCCAGAGGGCATGTAGCTGAGAAGTAAGTAGGTAGATTCTCTCTTCCATATCTGCATCAGCTTCTGTTGCAACTTTATGGATGCCTGCCTGTTTTATGTCACAGGTCCCTCCTGTCTCTTTAATGAAGGTCCCAGAGACTATTATTCAACAGTAGCAGCACATGTATCACTGTGAGATAGCAAAGAATTTAGTGGAGATTGCTGGTAGAAAAGCTTAGCTGAATGCATTGAGCCTTTGCTGCTTGCAAAAACGTAACCAACAGCAGCCAGAGTCCTGTCCAAAAAGCATTTTCAAAAATGAAATTTTAAACAAAAATATAATTTCAAATTTTGAATAATAAAGCATATGTACTTTCCCCATGCACCTTTGCTGATATCCTGTAAGAAAAGGATTAATTTCTCATTAATGCTAAAATGAAGTGTATACTCAACAGGTGATTTATGAACAGTAATTGAAAAAAAGTATGCTTAAACTACAAATACCAAAGTAAAGCACATTTGTTTTTGTCTCAAGCAGATTTTCTCTGTTGAAAATGTACATAAAACTGCAAGCCCAATTACAGAGCTGGCTACTAATGGAGAGGAAAAAAACCTAACTGATGGTGGAGAATAACGAGGGTAATTTAATAAAAAAGAATAGAACAACATTTTAAAATTTAAATAATAGTTTGTATAATGTGTCAGGGTGGTTGACTAGAGATATATTACTTTTTCTTGAAATACAGCACACCACATTTTTCAATAAGTTATCAGGAACACATTTTAAAAACTATTGTGCTGAGTGCTTTTTTTTTTAGCTGCAGTACCTTATTTGTAATATTCACTATGAAAAGACAACTTTCACAATCTTACAATTAATGCTATGAGTTATTCAAATTAAGTTATCTGTTGCTAATGTAGGAATTTGGTGAAAAAAATACAATACTGTCTGTCTTTTCTACAAAGTATTTGTATGGTTTCAATGTACTAATTAATGCTCCAGACTAAGCAAGTCACACTCATTCCTGAGTTTCAAGAAAATAATTGTATTTTATGGAATAGCAAATTACTGCTGCAATGAAAAAAAAAACCAGCTTAAAATAAGCTTTGTGCATACATTGTTAAGCTTCAGCTTACAGATTTTTGAGATCATGCAAGACTTTTCTCCAGGCAACCCAATGCAAAAACCCATGTGAACAACTACAAATACTAATTTTTTTCTTGGTAATTTCTACAGCATATTATACTTAAATGAATTAACAGCCATTAGCAAATAAGAATTTGAAATAAACCTTTGTAGGATGTTCACCATCACTATGGTTTGTAATGAAGAAAAATAAAATATATAGTAAACAGAACATGAGAAAAGCTTAGCCACAGTAATCTTTGGAAAGCATTGAAGCATATGCTAACAGCAGGGAAGGCCACATTAAACATTTTTAAATGTTAGATGACAATGCAGCAGTAAAGGATGGCACTGCAAGCAAACAACATGAATGAACACACACTGTAAAATGTTTTTAGTTGGCAAACCAGAGTTTATAATAAGAAAATCTTAAAGGTTCCCCAAATTACAGAGGCATTGATACAGCGCCATCTGTACCTGAGAGATCCTGGGGGAGCTCTGATGCCACCTTCTTCTCTGCCACATTGTTGCTATCAAAGATTTCTGACTGATACCCCACTGCGTTCTTCCCTTCAGAGGGACTAGTTTCTCCTGCAGAAGGATTTGTGGTGCTGCCGTCTGTGCTTGATGCCACAGAGTTACTTTTATCCCCAACGTCTGTTGGCTCTACAGTAAAATGCACAACAAATCTTTAAGGATATTCTTAACATTTCCTTAGGATGTCATTTGGCCTTATCCATGCTAAGCAGTTTCTTGTATTACATCCACTTTGTAGCACCAAAATATATTGAATGTATTTTTGTAGTAAGGTAGTGTCTTCATGGTATCAGAGCACGCAAACAGTCCAAAACTACTTGATTCTAATTTAAAAAACACTGTTAGAAATAAATCCTTTAACATGGGTACCCGTATGTACATATATTGACTACCACCACTGAGCTCCATTCCAGAAAAAACCAAACATCTCAAAGCAAAAATGGAGTTATATTGTAACACAGTAATCAGGGAAATGAACTATCCAAATCTACCACAGAGAAACAAACTGTATACAGCCATAAAGAAATAAATTTCTATTACCCTTTCAAAAGCAATTAAAAAAAATCTTGCTGGTGTACAAAACAACATGAATATTTCCAGAAGTTAATGTGATAGTGAAGGTTATTTAAGAACACCACAAATATTGCTGATGAAAGGTCAGTTTCTTTACCTTCTGTTTTTCCTTTTTCTGAATCTTGCTCAGGTGGTGTTTCTTCATTTTTTTCCTGTAGCTGGTCTGCAGGTTCTTCCTTTCTTTTTTCAGTATCTGTTTGGTCATTATTTTCAACATCAATTTTGTCATTATCTGTTTCGTCAGTTACTTCACTTTTATCCTCCCCTATTTCTCCTTTTTTTATTCTAATCAATTCCAGTATTTCATCTACAGAAGGAAAAAAGTAAAATTCAGGCAATAATGCCTTTTTATAGAGAGCCACTAAGTTGAAGTCTTAAATCAGAAGTAATTTAAATCAAGAGGGCCTTTACTTTTAAAGAATTACTTTTCACAATCACAAAACAAATGCCAGGAGCCAAGAACAAAAAATAATATCAATTTTTTCCTCTGTTTTCCATTTTCAGATATATGACAATTTGAATACTCGATTTCTAAAAATTATGTTACGTACAGAATACCAAACCCGTTAACTCAATCCTTCATTGTTCCAGAGTGGAAAAATTGAGTTTCAGCTTACTGTTTGCAGGGTTCTACATAAAGCTTAAAGATTCAGACTTCTTACATGCAGTCATCATATCTCATAACTATTAAAATACTTTTATTGACAGGGCTCGACAAATAATACAATCTACTCGCCCCTGTTGAGTAGATTGCAACCCGGAAGAGTTGGGTTCGGGCAATCTGCGCATGCGCAGATCGCCGGACAGCGCGGTTCGGCGAGCCCTGTTTATTGACATATAAAAAGTTGAATTGCTCAAACTGTTACTTTAATATGGCTGGAGCTACATAAATGCATGCTGCATTTCAGCAAGAAAAAAAAAGCTGAAAGAAAAATATGGTGCTTAAGTGAAAGAATTCTTTCCTTGAGGAGACTACACAGATTATGCAAATCGTTAGCTTGTGTAGAGCATGCATGTAAACTAGCACTCAGATTCAGCTTCCATGTATTTGACACTTTCATTTTTGGGTTGTACTTTATCTTGTTTGTTTTCTCTGCCTAGAATATCCCTATATTTTGTACTTTGTCAAAATTATCTAGTGAAAACAGATTATACCAAATGTCAAGTGATATGCATCCATGGAGTTAATTTAAGTCTTTCACAAAAGAATTTAGTCACTATTTCTACTACTATTCCATACCGTTACTAGTAACTCATACAAAATACATAATTCCTTCATTTATTAGTAGTAATAACATTATATAGTTGTGTTTCAGGAGCATCATGTACTACCCATGTTAGTAGCAGTTAACATTTACTTTACACCAGATTGCTGGCTAATTAGAAATTCTAAAATGTAATATTAGGGAATTTATATATTTGGCACTCTTCTGAAAGGGAATGTATTTTGACTGCAGTCTACAATATTCTATCAAAATATGTGGCTCAGAAGTTCTGCAGAGAAATGAAATTTTAGTAAAAATGTTAAATTAAAACAAAGTTGAGTAGACCTCATAACTGTAGCATCATTGTTCACGAAATACTGTACTTCCTGATTATTATTACTTTCCAAATATTAAGTGTGGCCCTGAAGATGCAGAAGTATAGGTCTCTAAATCAGTGTTTCTCAAACTGTGCTCTGCAGAGCCCCAGGTCTCTGCGAGACATCTCCAGGGGTTCTGCAAGCTTGACAAACTGGAAACACTGATAGGTACAATACATACAATCAGTGGACCGCTGGGGCTCCACATACATTTTTACTCATGTAAAGGGCTGCGGAGCCCAAAAAGTTTGAGAACCGCTGCGCTAAACAAAAAACGTAGATTTAAAATTAAAAAGGCCTATTTTTCAGGTAATTCAAACCTTTATTCTTCCCCTTCAAATAATATTACCTGCAGATACAGTTAATAGGAAAGAAAACTCTGTTTTGAGCCCCTGCCACTAATAATCCCTATGAAGTCCAAAAAGGTTACTCCTTTGGACTTGTCTCTGGAACGGTTACATCACCACATAAATTCAATTAACAGGGTACTTAACCCTTTCACTAATGAACACTCTCCCCTCCATTTTCCCACACACACTCTCTTACATGGGACATAACATTCTTTCAATAGAAATTCACGGAATAAGTATGTTTGGAGGTACTAGACGAATATTTCTAGAGGATATATCAAATAATTCAGCAAGACACTAAATGTCAAAGCCAGGAAATATGGAAGCAACTTCAAAAGTTCATAACATTGCTACTGCCCGCCAGGTTGAGGTTATAAAGTTATTAACAAGAAATTTTTTAAAAGTGTGTGTAAAACTTGGGGAAAAATGTTAATGTAATTTTTAAAAGACAAATATGAAAGTGTTTAACATTCATTCTCACAGTAAACAACTATTCCTACCATTTGCTGCAGCAAGGAAAGATTTGTTGTTGCCACGTGCTTTGTTAGTAAGGTCTTCAGTGATATCCATATGCCGATGAATTTCTTGGCTCATTTCTTCAAGAGTCTTGCAAAGATCAGCTTCCCAGTAATCTTTGTCTAGGCATTCAATTAACTGTGCCAGCTGGACCTTTGTGCTATAGTACCAGAGTTTCTTATCCTTCTCATTGTCTGAATCTTCCTCTCTGCAATAAGAGTTTGAGAACAATTGTTTCTATATTTTAGACAGATAAGGAATTTTATGTAAAAATGAGCCTACCTGCCCCCTTTTCTCTCCAAGAAAACATTAAGCAATAAGGGCTAAATAAGATTAACACTTGAGATTCACCTTTGGCCTTCCGTGCTTCTAAAGAAGCTCCCTCTCTTTCCATCTCCTTCCTAATAGCCTTTTCACACTACTTCCTCTCTGCTCCCTCAAAACGTCAATTTTTGTGCTCATCCCCTGGGATTTTAAAACAAAAGATTTTAAATCATCTCCTCAAATTTGATTTGTCCACCTTCCAATAGGATTTACTGCAGTTACTTTCCAATTATTACAATATTAATAAATGCAAGCCATTCTCCCCAAGCACTCCTAAAACAATGCAATATTATAACTGAAATTTTAAATATATTGAGTCCGGAAATTGAATGATGGGGAATCCCACAATCACCATGAAATGTTTTATTATGCAGATAGTATTCACTTGTGCACACATGCACCAGAGTAATAAAGGTGGCACAGGGTCTCTTCAGATCTCTAATTCAGAGGTTTTAGAAGCACAATATTCTGCTCCTTCTCTCTACATAATTCTTCCAAACAAACAAGACTGAGGCAATTTCATTAGGGGAACTTGTTAAATTTCCCTCGCTACTGGCCCTCTTCTGTGGTTCCCAGCCTACCCACAATCTGGCCTTACTCATTCAGGAACATAGGCATCCTTATGTGATTTGATGACGTTTATCTATATATTAGAATATTTTAAATTAGAATTATAAAAAAACCACAGTCACACACAGACAGTGCAGAAAAATGCAAATACACTAAAGTGTTATGAAGACAATCTCAATATTACAAAAATATCAGCAGCTAAATCAATACTTTTCTAGATATTACTTCAAAATATGTTTTGATTATTTCAGCCAATCTGGCATATTGTAAAGAAATACTACCCTTTCTGTTAAAAAGGATTTAGAGAAATCTTTCTTTGCTTGCACAAGGCAACCGACTCTAGTTAATCTAATTTATTGCTCTAGCTCACCAGTCTCCAAATTTTTTATTTGAGGGGCCCCCCACTATCCCTCTTCAACAGCCCCCACTAGCTCTAGTTGAGAGTCAGGAGTGGGGCCATGAACAGAAGCATGAAGTGGTGGAGCTAGGAGTGGCTGAAGTTGGGAGCATGGCCAGAACAGAGCTGGGGACATAATGGGACTGGGTGGTGTTTTTTCTCCTGCCCCCACTAGGAGCAGGCACCCCACATTTTGGGGACCACTGATCTAGTCTTGCTAATCTCCATCTGATATTAGTTTTGGTTTATTATTTAGCTGTTTTAAAAAGTTTCCAAGCAAAATGATTTAAGAACATTTTCAGGTTGTTCATACAGATTACAGATAAAAGGGAAAGTTCAAAACAATTTTTATAACCTTTTGCTCTTCTTTGTCTCTATGGTGTACTCTTCATACTTAGCTACTTACAGGCAGTCCCCGAGTTACGCGGATCCGACTTATGTCGGATCCGTACTTACGAACGGGGCTTTACTCACCCCGGAGGACGCGGGCGGTGGGACCACCCAGACATGCCGCAGTGCCCCCGGCCCCCGGCACGCCCCCCCCCCCCCCCCCCAGCAGACCAGGCTTTTCTCACGGACGCCTGTGGTAGAGCAGCTGGGGCGCTGCCAGGCTGGTCCCATAGTGCCGCTCCTTGGCGCTACTGGACCAACCCGGCAACGCCCCAGCTGCTCTGTTCCAGGCGTCCAGATTCAGCCGCTGTTTAAACTGATCAGCGGCTGATTCCAGGAAGCCCGGGGCAGAGAAACTCTGCCTCGGGCTTCCTGTAGTCAACCGCTGGTCAGTTTCAGCAGCGGCTGGATCTGGATGCCAGCTCCGACTTACATACAAATTCCACTTAAGAACAAACCTACAGTCCCTATCTTGTACGTAACCTGGGGACTGCCTGTATATGTTTTTCAAACAATTGAGTTAATGGTCAAACCCTTTTTCATCTAAACCAAGAAACATTTCTGCAGGTATGATAGGATTTGAAACACGTATCAGTGAAGGGACTGTGGAAAAGAACGGTTACTTACCTGTAACTGTTGTTCTTCAAGATGTGCTGCTCATGTCCATTTGAAGTAGGTGTGCGCACCATGTGTCTTTGTTGTTCTTCGAGATGTGTTGCTCATGTCCATTCGACTCCCACCCTACCTCCCCTCCTTCGGAGTGTCCGGCAAGAAGGAACTGAGGTGGGGCTACGGGTACCGCTAGGGAAAACGCTCCAGAAGACACATGGTGCGCACACCTACTTCAAATGGACATGAGCAGCACATCTTGAAGAACAACAGTTACAGGTAAGTAACGGTTCTTTTCTTCTTCGAGTGGTTGCTCATGTCCATTCGAAGTAGGGGACTACCAAGCTAACCCCACGGAGGAGGGGTCGGAGCAGTCATACCACCAGAGTCATGAAGGAAGGTGAACAATAAACGGATTTATTTGAACAATCCAACACTGACAAGGCACAAATTAAGAACAAAGACAACCGGATATATATATTTACATATTTACATCACAGATTCGAGGACTTCAGAGCGCACCCTTGCATCCTCCCTGGCCTGCTGAGGTAGCGCATAGTGTGTTGCAAACGTGTGAAGGGAAGACCAGGTGGCTGCCCTGCAAATTTCTGTGATTGGTACCTGGGCACCAAAGGCCACCAAGGTACAGGTCTGTGCCCTGGTGGAGTGTGCCTTCACCCTGGGTGGGGTTTTACCAGCCAGGTGATAGCAGTCTGTGATGCATTGCACCAACCATCTTGATAGCCTTTGCGTGGAAATAGGAGACCCTTTCACCCTGTCCCCAAATGCAATATACAATTGTTGTGATTTACGGAACAGCTTGGTCCTATCAATGTACAACGCCAGCGCCCGCTTGGTGTCCAGGGAGTGCAGAATACGCTCCTTAGAGAAGCCATGTGGTTTTGGGAAAAAAACCGGGAGATAAATCTCCTGGGACAGGTGGAATGGTGATACCACCTTCGGGAGGAAGGCTGGATGAGGCCATAGTCTTACATTGTTATGGGAAAAAACAAGGTAGGGCGGGTCTACAGTTAGCGCCCTTAGTTCCGACACCCTTCGAGCCGATGTAATAGCCACGATTAAAGCAACCTTCAATGAAAGGTGCAGTAGGGAACACGTGGTCAGCGGTTCAAAGGGAGGTAGCATAAGCCTGTGGAGGACCACGTTAAGGTCCCAGGCGGGAATAGTCTTACATTGTTATGGGAAAAAACAAGGTAGGGCGGGTCTACAGTTAGCGCCCTTAGTTCCGACACCCTTCGAGCCGATGTAATAGCCACGATTAAAGCAACCTTCAATGAAAGGTGCAGTAGGGAACACGTGGTCAGCGGTTCAAAGGGAGGTAGCATAAGCCTGTGGAGGACCACGTTAAGGTCCCAGGCGGGAGCGGGGCCCTCACTGAGGGGTACAGCTTTTCCAGGCCAGTAAGAAAACGTTTAACCACCGGGTTAGAAAAAAGGGAGACTCCTGCCATACCAACATGGAAGGCAGAGAGATGCTACATGAACTTTGACAGAAGAGAAAGATAGGCCACTAGACCGATGCTGGAAAAGGTAGTCAAGAATAGTTGGAACAGGAGCCAAGGACGGGTGTACTCCTCTCCGGGACGCCCAAGACGAGAAGTGAGGAGAACCATCTGAACCTCTTGGGAACATTCCCTTTCAGGTTGGTTCAACCACGGATAAACCATGCCGTTAGGTGGAGAGACCGGAGATCCGGGTGAACCATGATCCCCACTCCCCAGGGTTGAGTTAGCAGATCCCGGACTAGAGGGAGTGTTATTGGGTCCTGGACAAGCATGTCCACCAGGATCGGGAACCAGAACTGTCTGGGCCACCTGGGGGCTATGAGAATGATCGAGGACCGAAAGGTCCTCGCCCTGGTCAAAACCCTGGAAATTAGGGGAAACGGGGGAAAAGCATAGAGAATGCCCTCTGGCCAAACGGTCGTCAGGGCATCCCCCAGGGAATATTTCCCCACACCCAGTAGGAAACAATAGTTCCGGCACTTTGCATTGTGCTCCGATGCAAACAGGTCTAGGAGGGGATAACCCCACCTGTGGAAAACCTGATGGAGAGCGGCATCCTTGAGCGACCACTCGTGGGCTCCAAAGGATCTGCTCAGGGTGTCTGCTAACAGATTCTTGCACCCCGGAAGGTACTCTGCCCGTGGCATGATGTCGTGTTCCACACAAAGGTGCCAGAGCAGCAGGGCCTCTTTGCAGAGGGGAGGTGACCGGGCTCCCTCTTGCTTGTTGATATAAAAGACCGCTGCCGTATTGTCTAAACGAACCAGGAGCCTTGGTAGGAAGGCTTCGCAGGCCCTCCTCACCGCCCACAATTCCCGGATGTTTATGTGGAGGGTATGTTCCAAGGGAGACCAGAGGCCTTGAGTCCTGTGTCGCCCCAGGTGTGCTCCCCAGCCCAGGTCTGATGCATCGGTGACCAGCGTGAGGGAGGGGAAAGGGGCAGCAAAAGGGACCCCACTGCACACCACGGTTTCCTGGGTCCACCACCGGAGGGAGGTCAGGATTTCCGGGGGCACAGTTATAATTGAGTCCCAAAGACCCCGGGACTGGTTGAAGGTCTTCGCCAACCAAGCCTGTAGGGGTCTCATTCTCATTCTGGCGTGGCGAACCGTGTACGTGCAAGCCACACACCACGGTTTCCTGGGTCCACCACCGGAGGGAGGTCAGGATTTCCGGGGGCACAGTTATAATTGAGTCCCAAAGACCCCGGGACTGGTTGAAGGTCTTCGCCAACCAAGCCTGTAGGGGTCTCATTCTCATTCTGGCATGGCGCACCGTGTACGTGCAAGCCGCCATATGACCCAGGAGCCTGGAGCAGACCTGAGGGGTTGTGATAGGGGACCGGGTTAACCCCGAGATCAGCTCCACTATGGAGAGGAATCTGCTCTTGGGG